ATTGGGTTTTTTCCTAATATATTCTATCTGCAGTTGTTTGAATCTGCAGATGCAGAACCCACAGATGCAGATGTCCAATGGAATATAACAATACTGAGACTATTCAAATTGTAACTTCATATTGTTACCAAAAACTTGAAGACTTACTTTTAAGACTGGAAATATAGTAATATTCATTATTTGCTGAATTTAATGTATTTGGAATCAGAATAATCAAAAGTTTCATTCAAAAACCCATCCAACTCAACTTTTTAAATAAGGTAATATTTAGGATTGCTGTGATCCTAACAGATCCCTCTTACTTAATTACTGATTTATTTAACCGTCATATGAGATCTTGCCTTTCTTCCATACTCCTAACCCTTGTACTTTCTTCCACCTCTTGGAAATGTTGTTAAGATGCCTGACTCTGAAGACTTACTAGAGTACTATTGCTGTTTCTCTTTAGTTCAGTCTAAGGTAATCAGTTTAAATGAAGTTGCTCATTGCTGCTTAAAAGCATTAGGCTTCCTTACTAACAAAAGTGAAAAACTGGAAATCTGAGTCTGTTTCTTTCAAAGATGGATGTTGACACATTGAGAAAAGTATGATCATGCAAGCCCCTGTTATCTGCGCACAAAGCAGGGGCCTACGCAACTCTTGACTCGTGAGATTAACATATCTCAAGTGGGAGGAAGGATTCTAGCTCATTCTCCATTCCAGTGGCTTTCCATTGCCTCTCTTCCAGCTGAGTTACCAGAGAAGCAGGGCAGTAGAGAACTAGAGATCCCGACTTTCGTCTCCATACCTTAAGATGCCAGTAGAATCTTTTGTTTGTAAAGATAAGATCCTTCCTGATGTCTGAAGATATTGGGGGTCCTGTGACAGATCCAAACATCCTATTAACTCACATCTGTAAAGAACAAAACTATTTCAAAACTAAGTCTTAAGCTCAAATTGCTAATGTGCTATTCTCATTTAGTTCTGTTTTTTCTGTGATAATGTTACTTACAAAAATGGTTGTCTTCTTTTCACATACTAGTTCTTTAAAGTTATTCACTTGTAAGTGGAGATTGGATGCTTATTGTGTGCCCAGCACAGTTTAGGAAAAAAATAATTGACATAGTCTGTCCAATTACTGGAAATCGCCATTTTGATGTTGTGTACTTTGTTCCAGGTCTTAATTCTAAGTATATCTTTTCCTATGATTGTGTATATCACATAATACACCCAATATGAAGAACACTTTTTAAATGGATGTTTTAAAGGAAAAATACTAGACATTTATAGTATCTTTTCTCAGAAGAATGGTATACTTTATATATCCTTTCACCGTCTGTATTTTCTAATGAATTTAGATTTCTAAAACAGTATTTCTGAAGTAGAGAAGGATGTTATTTACATTTTATAAAAACATACTAGGAAATGTTACCTGATCATTATTAATAACTCAGGCACATCATCTGGAGGACTAAGGTTAACTCTTGGTTAATGTGATCCTATAAACTAAGCGGTTAAAGTGCAACAGCAAGGAAACTTGAATTAACATTTTTCCCAAAGAAACTTTAAAAAATTCTAAAATTTAAGCAGTTACATATATATATTCTCAAGCATTTATCAAACTGTCATATGTCTTCAGTGTTAGCCTTATTTTGTTTTATTGAGTTAATTTTCTTACCGAGTCCTGTTTTGGAAGTGAATGAATCTCAAAATGAATTCAAAGTA